TGTTTAGCTGACGGGCCAGGTTTGGACCCGCCAGCCTTGGTGCATGTGGCCGGTGCCCTGCCCGCTGAGCTATGGGAGCCACCTTGCTCTTTCTTGATTTTTCAGTTTGGACATTTGTTTATTGACTTTACACTATGGAAGATTAGATTGTAGTTCTGTTATCCCTCTTATCTCCTTGTTCTCCAGATGGGAGAATTAGATGTTAATATCAGCTCTAAAATGGCTTTTTTTTTGCAGTTTTTGGCCGGGGCTGGGTTTGAACCCGTGACTGCCAGCATATGGGGCCAGCACCCTACTCCTTTGAGCCATAGGCGCCGCCCTGCAAGTGTGTTTTTCATAGTTACCAATAAATGATTCATTTTTAATTGTACAATCATCTTGGTTTTCTGAACCAAGATGTAAGGTCACCTATGAGATAAATGAAAGATCCTTCATGTGTCACCTAAAGTAATATGATTTGGTACTTAAATTGGCAAAATATTCCTAGGAATGGCACCATGAAAAGGTCACAAAGGCTATTAGTTTTCTGGAAACCCTTCTGGTTCGCCCACTCTCATGGCTGAGGGCTGACTACAGCACATACTTTTCATCTGTGAACTTCTCAGCTGTAAAGTCCGCCTGCCTCTCGGTCTCATAGGGTCGATATTCCCTGTAGGATCGCCGCTCGGCTCTATCAAGCGTCACCTCTGTGCCCCGGCTATCATTCCATCCTTGCTGCTCCCCTCTTCTGGGAGTTCGCTTCTGGCCTGCCAGTGGAAAATCAAAGCACAGAGCTGGAACACAAATGTCTGGGACAACACAATGGCAAACTTTAAAGGTACTTTTCAATTTTGCTTTTCTAGAAATCAGTGTCACAAGGAAAATTTAGAAAATATCAGAAAAGGAAAACGTTGCTAATAATACTACTGTCCAGAGTCTACTACTTTTTAATAAAACTTTATTATTAAACATGCTTCCCCTGTGTACTGTAAAGTATGGTAAGATAAACTATATAAACTTACCTTTAATTACAAAGGCATCTTCCAATATAGCCTATAACAGCCATGGATATATTTTACTAAATAAACTACATTTCATAAAAGCAGCTGTACCAAAACATGGTATGTAAGCCTTATCAGGAAAATTAAAAAATACATACCCTGCATTTCAGATTATACTCTTAGAAACTCAACTGCACATACAACAAAGGCACTTATACCTTGTCCTCAGCTACTAAGATGTTTGTTTTTAAACAGTTTGTACTGTATATTGTTTTATTTTAAAATAGATTTTCCTGCTCTTTGATGGTATTCACACCTTTTGTGATCCTACTTTTCACATATGAGCCCAAACTGTTATTTGCTAACTCAACAAAGGTACTCAAAAAGTCCTTGAGTCCACTGAGAGTCCAGCATTCAGGTGTGGCAGGGGGAGGGGTGCTGGAACCACTGTAGTCTGTCTTTTCTTCTTCTTATCTTACTTTACTCCTCTCTAGTTTTATGTGTTGTTTGAAAAATTTTAAACAAAGTCTATTTTTGAAACCATCTCATATTTAGTAAAAATGTTGTGGAGAACTTTGTCACTTCTTAAATAATCTTTTAAAAATGTTTATATTTTTGGTATCCATTTAAAAGAGCTCCTCTCAAATACTAAATGCAATTTTTACTAAAGTAACTTCAATTTTTTCTTCGCATAAACTACCCTCACATTAGTTGTATAGCTATAAAGTATTAAATTCATTCAAATGAGTGGGTAGATTTTTTAACTGCTAAATTCCTCTCCCATTTAGACACAAACATGATTTGTAAGGAATGTATGTACATACGCATTTTTCTTTTTTCTCATTTAATATTTCCTACCTGAACTTCTAGTATTTTAAAGCACAAATCATGTTGATGACATCACCAACATAAATTGTATAATTTATTCCTTGCTAACATAATTTTTTTTTCAAGTTTGAAAATCTACACAAAAGATGTAAGTCCAATATGCCATAATTTTAACATCCTATAACCTAGAGATATTTAAATCCAATTTGTATCCTGTAGTGAGGTCACAATCTAAACTTGTGACACGGTTAGGATATGAAAAAGATGTTATAAGTAGACCATCAAGACAGTGACTGACATTGCACCCAGTTACCTAGGAAAATGCAATGTCAGATGTGTAGGCACACACGCTACTAAGAGATAAAAATTGCAAAAGGTGTTCAAAATATAAGGTAGAAAAAAAATCATTATGAAAGTTAATTATCTAATAAGTTGAAAAATATGAGAGATCATGACATAACAGTCATCAGGAAACCTGTCAACAGTAACAACACTTTTCCATACTTTTACCTCAGCGTAAAATAATTTGTCAATACAGCTTCAGATTTCCTGTTTACAACCCATAGTTTAAAGAAAATCTTTTAAGATAAATAAATAAATAACCCTTTTACTCTCTCTATTCAACTACAGAATTATTCTGGTGCTTATCTCATTTTCTTTTTGATTCCTCCAACCGAAATTTGGAACTCACCATTTAAAACTTAAAATATGACATTTACTGTACACTTTATTAAGGCCTCTTGGAACTCTGAACACAGTTAAATATGATTGCCTACTTATTAGAATTACAATACCCTGCAAACATTTCATTCTCCATCAAAACCCCCCAAATGCAAAGACAATCAGTGTCCATTTTTTCCCCCCATAATTTAGTACTAAAAGATCAAGACTGCAACTAACCTAGCTTGCTGTTCTGTGCTGGATCAGCAACTTCAAGTGGACAATGCAAACACTGCATTTCACTAGCCCTTTCCAGTAAAAGACTGGCACATGCAGTTTGATAATTGATCTAAACCAAGTCCATACAAAGAAACAGAATACAATAAAATTTATAGTAAGATGTCCTACAAAATAAAGTTGAGGTTTGGCTCAAAGCCCATAGCTCTGAAAGACTAGAAAAAGCAAAGCTGAAACAGCCTCTGATTAATTCAAGAATGAATGAATTAATTTCAGTGAGCAAAAGTCACCCAAGGATTTACTTATATTGTTGGATAGTCAAACATTAAAAACCTATGTTTCCATGGGAAAATCTTAGGATTTCCAATTTCTTTTGGGATTAAATGTTTCTATATGTCAAACATGTTTTTGTCTATATTAAGCATTCACTTGTAGAATTCTAACTAAATTAAAATTTTTGAGTCTTAGAAAAATACAGTTCTTCATATTAATTAGGGCTACAAAACCTTGAGAGAGCAGCTAACAAACCCATTACAGATAATTTTAGCACAGTAACTACATAAATGGAAAATAACGAGCTGTTTGCTCCTGAAATAACACATACTTAAAAGAACCAGAATGACAAAATTTCCATTCTAATGAGAAAATCAACTAAATATCTTTAAAATCGCTTTCAAAAGCCAGATTAGGTGGACTGCAAAAAAAGTCACAGAAAAAGTAACCTATATTAGCTTCCAGTGTCAAGTGCAAGAATCAGTTTGCAAGCCAGTTATACTATGTAAGTTTAAAGAAAAAAAAAAGGCTCTGTGCTTTTACATATATGTATAAACACAAAATGTTAACAGCAGGAAAAATAGAGGCTCTTCATACATTTCAGAATTGTCTAAAATTTTTATAGCAAAAATATGTGACATTTTTAATTTTAAAAGGCCAAATATCAATACATTACCAGCACTAACTGCAGTTTCTTCTAAAGGATGGACTACATATTATCTTCATTTGTTAAAAAATAAAGAGAGAAAAAAAGCTTAGTCCTCCACAATCTTTTATTAGCATTGTATTTATCTAAAAAGTTTTAAGAGAAAACAAAGAAAGTAATACAAAATTCATAGTATCTCAAGTCTCACTGTTTAGAGAGGCTCATAAATGAACTGCCTATTAGGTGACTTGAGATGTCCAACAGCATTTTTATCATTTTCAACATCTTTTTTGCAGTGACTTGATTTTGATTCTCAGGTAATGACTCTGGATTTAACTTTTTGCAAAGGTAAGCCTTACCTAGTTAAACACGTCAAAGCCCCAATACTTAATACCACGAGGCGTGCTGGGATGCACGAAATTTATCAAGCAAGGAACAACCTCCCAAAAGTTTAGTTCAATACACTGCCAAACGTTGGCTGGAGAAGTCAAACTATATATCCCGATCATGTAACACTCTGCAAACCTTAAGACCACTACCTTATTTCAGGAAAACAGGAAACACTGGTGGAGTGTTGCTGACTATGTCACTGACAGTAATTGCGGTGAGAGACATAAAGTACCTGCCCTGTAGTACACCAAGCTGGCCTTGGGGCCGTTCTTGCTAAACTAGGAGTAGTTTTAACATTCTTGTTAGAAAGGTTAAAAACGCTTTTCTTGAAGCACCCTTGAGTTATGCATGCCATCGTCATTACACGGTGTACTGAAATACGACGCCGGCTGGCTACTGGGAGCTCGTACCCGGAGGGAGCGCAGGCTCTCCGCTCGGGCCGACGTCACAAGCCGCCCAGCGGTCGCCCTTCCCTCCATCACAGAGGCCCAGAGCCCCGGACCCCGGAGCGATTCTCTGCACAGCCGGGCTCTTGTCACCACCCCCGAGGTCGGGGGTGCCTTCCCTTCTTCTCATCACGCTTCTCCGTTTGTCTCTCGACCTGAATCCTGCAAAGGTTGGGCTGGAGGATGGAGAAGGTCCCTGCCAGATCCAGATCTGGAGCCTCGGGATAGCGACCTCAGTTTCTCCCCTCCCCTCCACGCCACCCCAGCAATAGCCCTCAACTTTGTCCAACTTGTTGTAAAGGCTCAGGTCCAGGGTTTTGAGACCTCTTAACTCCAAACCTGCACTGCCCATCCCCGGAACGGAATGGGAAAGGCAAGAAGAGGTGTGAACCCCTGCCTCTCTTCTCCTACCTTCCTTGGCCACAAGGACCCTCAACTCACCAACTCTTTCAGAGCCCTCTCCCCTTTCTGGAACTAGTTCTAGTGGCCCCAGTCTCATAGAGGGTTGGAGTTGAGGGGCGGCAGAGAAGGGGTGACCTTCGTGACCTCATTCTCCTCCCTCTCCCACTTGGGGTGCCCGGGTGCCTGGCGGGACGTGCGTACCGGGCGGCTGTGGGCCACCCCCGGGGCTGTCCGGCTGCTGCGCGCCCGGGGCCGGGAGGCTCTTGCGCTCCTTCTGGGACTCCCTCCGGCAGCCGCCTGCGCCGGGTCTATGCCCAGAGGCCCCGGCTGGGCTTCTGCCGCCGCGGCTGCTGGCTCCTGCCGCCGCCGCCGCCTCATCGCGTCTCTTGCGCTGCAGCTGCTGCTGGCGCCGGCGCTCGGCCTCGCGCAGGATGTCGAACGGGTCCGACTCGTCGTCCAGCAGCTGGTGGAAGCGGTTGGCCACGACGCAGCCGAAACTCTCCTGCATCGCGGCGCCAGCGGCGGCCGCGGCCACGGGGCTCCCCAGAGCACCCTTCATGCCGCCGTGGGCAGCCGACGCGAGCGTGTCTCAGCGAAACCGGCGGCGAGGACCCATCCCGCCCGCCTCCGCCACTGCCTTCCCTGCCCGACCCGGTCTGGTCCCTCCGGGCACCCGCCCCCGCGCTGCCGCAGCCGCCGCTACCGCCCGCCCAGCCGCACCAGACAGCCAATCAGCGCTCGTGGATACGCCCCCATACCTAGTCGTCATCCCTGAAGAGCCAATCACCTGCCGGATGCTGCTACGTCACACGACCTCTGTGCCGCTCCCCCTCCGACTCAGCAGGGAGGGGCAGGGCCCAAGGGGCGGAGCTACCGGCTGGAGAAAGTAGTCTTGAGGTCCAGGCAGCTCGAACTTGCGGATGGGTAGCGGCCATTATGTGGGTTCTCTCTGGGGCTGGTTCCATATACGTTATTGACCACTCTTCTTTGAAGCGTATATGTACGATTAGCCGTTAAACAGCTATATGTTGAGCATTTACAATGTGCTAGGCGTTATGTTGTAGGAGGTACTACCTCCGTGTTTTCATGGATCTTATTCTGCAGACAGAAAAAGTGTCCTGACTGCACAGAATTCCCCATGAGCCTGTAGCAGAGGGACCTGAACTGATTAGAAAGTGACAGTTAAGCTGAGAAAAAAGGATCAAAACGGGCCTCAGGGAGGCAAGCGCAGAAGTCTTGAAGTCGGATGAAATACAAGCCATTGGAGATCAAGGAAAAGCAATGTAAGTGGAATGCAAAGAGTTAGGGAGTACTCTATTTTTGTGATTATGCTAGAAGCAGTGGGAAGCAAGTTTTAAGCATAAGCATACTTGTATTTGAAAAGGATACTCTAGCTGCATTGTGGAGGAATAGCTGGGAGGAAGGTCAAAATGGATGCTGGGGGACCAGACAGAAGATTGCTGTAAAAGGAAAAGTTGATGATAGTGACTTGGACTAGGGTGATGGCGGTGGAGGTGAAGAGAGTGAATGGATTCAGGGACTTCATGAGGCACTAGGTATGGGTGATGAAGAAGAAGAAAGTATAATGATTCTGATTTTTCTGGCTTGAGCATCTGAACGGTAGTGCTTAGTCACAAAGAAATAGAGCACTGGAAGAGACCAGGTTGAAGAGAATCATGAGTTCGTTCAGTCTTAAACATGTTGAGGTTTGTGGGGTTCTTTTTGTTTGTTTTGTTTGTGCTTTTGAAATATTCATTTGGGACCTAAAGCTCAGAGGATAATGCTGGGCTGGATTTCCTCCAGGAAATTTTGCTTGGGCACTGGTGCAGACACTCTTGGCACCTATTCTACAGCCATTCTCTTTCTGTTACATTTTTCCAGAACCTATATTTTGTTCAGGCATGAGGTGGCTATATACTACAGGGGAAGCCTTACACTTAATCTTTTTTCTTTCTTTCATTTATTTATTTTTTGAGACATAGTCTCACTTTGTCACCCTTGGTAAAGTGCCTTGGTGTCATAGCTGATGGCAACCTCCAACTATTGGACTTAAGCAATTCTCTTGCCTTAGCCTTCTCAGTAGCTGGGACTACTGGCACCCACCACCATACCCAGCTAGTCTTTTAGAGATGGGGTTTTGCTATTGCTCAGGCTCGTCTTAAAACTCCTGTTCTCAAGTAATCCACTGGCCTCAGCTTCCTGACGTGCTAGGATTACAGGCACTAATTAATCTTAAATCATTCATTGTACTTAATTCCATTCTCTTGCCAGTGATTGGTGTAGGAATAGGCTGTGCAGCAAATTCAGCAGAACTGATCTGGACAAAAGTATTCTGGGAAAGTTTTTCTTGCACCTAAAGTGGGATTGAGAAGGGTCTCCTCATTGTTATTTGAAAGGGACATGATCCCTAGAGTTGTTGCTCCTTATTGTGAGCATGAGGATAGTGGAGCAGAAGGATGGAGAAAACCTAGAACTTTGACATTGTTGAGCTGCCAAATCGACCCACTTGAACCTCCCTACCTCAGACTTCTTATCATGTGAGATGAGAAATGCCATTATTGTTTAAGCTATTCTTGTGTATGTTTCTTGAATCCAAAAGCATTCTTGTTAGAGCATCTTGCTCAGGTACTTCATGACCAGCTTTTATTTTCTTTTAGTAGCAAATAGAAAAAGAATTCCTTAAAAAAAATGGTTTTTTCTTATGTTATTTTGAGACAGAGTCTCACTTTGTTGCCCAGGCTAGAGTGCCAAGTCAGGCTAGCTCACAGCAACCTCAGACTCCTGGGTTCAAGCAATCCTCCTTCCTCAGCTTCAAACGTAGCTGGGACTATAGTTGCCTGCCACAATACCCAACTGATGAAAGAGGAAGTCTTAGTCATTCATGGTGTAATGTTTGTGTTTTATTCATTTATTCAACTTTCTGTCATTCCTGAGGAGGATAGGGATGATGCCAGTCTTATTCATTGCAATTCATATTCCAAGTGCTTGGCATTATAGACAACTGTATAGTAATTTTTTGGTAAATATTTGTTGAAGAACTGAAGAATTTAAAATATTTAGGTCAGCAAAGATTAATGCTTGTATTTTCTACCCCAAAGAATTAAAAGCCTGTTCCAACAAAAACTTGTATATGTTTATAGCAGCACTGTTCACTATAGCCAGAAGATAGAAACAACCAAAATATATATTACCTGATGAATAGATAAAATGTGATACAATGGATTATTATTTGGCCATAAAAAGGAATGAAGTACATGTTACAACATGGATAAACCTTGAAAACATTATTTTAAAGAAGACTGACACAAAAGGTCCCATATTATATGATTCCATTTATATGAAAGGTTCAGAATCCATAGAGACAGCAGATTAGTGGTTTCTAGGGTGGGGTACAGAAACTTTAATGAGCATGGGGGTTTTCTATTGGTGCAATCAAAATGTTCTGGAACTAGATAGTGTGGTGGTAGCACAAAATTGTGAATTTACTAAGTGCCACTCTATTGTATAATTTTAAATTATAAAAATAATAAATTGGGCAATGCCTGTGGCTCAAAAGGGTAGGGCTCCAGTCCCATATTCCAGAGGTGGTGGGTTCAAAGCCAGCCCCTGCCAAAAACAGCAAAAAAAAAAATTAAATAAATAAAATAAATAATTTTATGCATCTTTTACCATCCTTTCAAAAAACAAAAACAAATCATCTATTTTGGAGTCAGAACAAGGTTTGAGTCCTGCCTCTGGCACTCATTAATTTTGTGACCTTGGACATGTTCCTTATTTCTGTGCCTCAGTGTTCTTATCTGTAATATGGAGAGAATAATGGTTCCTACCTCAGAGGGTTATTGTGGGGATTGCATAAAATAATGCATACGAAGTGTTCAGCACAGTACCTGGCACAGAGTAAATCCCCAGCAAAAGTCATTGTTATTATCATCGTGATTAGTATCATCATCATCATTGTCATTTTAAATCGGTCTTAAGAACAGGTAAAATCATAAAATGTCCTTGTCACAAGGTAAAGAAATTTCCAAAAATTCTTTACAATCTAGAAACAATCTGTGCACCAGAGACTACATTGTGATCTCTGATCACTGCTCTGAACAAAGTTGTCTTTGGCATCTTTAAGCTGCTCATACACAACCACAACACCAAGGAGTCATTACCACTTGAAAGAATGGCCTATTGTCTTCCTACTGGACATTTGGAGTTAGCCCACTCTCCCATTTTCTACCTGTTTTCTTTCCAGGGTAGCCAACTTTTGGAAGTCCTGGCTTAAAGCATACTCAGAGCACTGTGTCCTAATTTCTAAATCACAAATGCCTAGGAGAGTTGTTAAGGGAACCAATTCTGGTTGCTTCAGGATTAAGGACATCTTTGGAACCACTGAGACAGAAATGAGTAGCTTATATTAGCTGGTGATGAGTTTTTTATGGGGCTGTTGATTACTGCAGAATTTACTGATGGTGACTATTAAATAACCCCATATTTTTTACTGACAATCTTTGTGCTGGGAGATTGTGTCCTTAAATGCATTTCTTTTTTTTTTTTTTTTTTTTGAGACAGAGCCTCAAGCTGTCCCCCTGGGCAGAGTGCTGTGGCATTACAGCTCACAGCAACCTCCAACTCCTGGGCTCAAGCGGGTCTCCTGCCTCCGCCTCCCAAGTAGCTGGGACCACAGGCGCCCACCACAACGCCCGGCTATTTTTTGGTTGCAGCGGCATTGTTGTTTGGCGGGTCCGGGCTGGGGATTCGAACCCGCCACCTTAGGTGTACGTGGCTGGCGCCTTAGCCAGTTGAGCCATAGGTGCCGAGCCCTTAAATGCATTTCTAAAATACAATTCTATCACATTGGCATGAGTTATCACAACATTGTGTTTAATGAGGTCAGTTTAATAAACTTATCTTTCTAATAATCTGAGGTATGAAAACAATCTACAGTAATTGTAATACCAAGTAGAAATACACACACAACCATATAGCATAGGAAATTAAAGGACATCAAAAAAACGAAGTGTGGATGCTAAATAATACCATTGGCCTTTCCTTGGTCATTTCATATATTATCCAGTGGTTATTACCAGCAATGGAAATTCAGTGAAACTTACTGGATATAAAACGTAAATTACCTTGAATTTCTTAATAGAAGAGTACCATTAGGAGTAATAAACTATGCTAAAGTCTTTCATATTGACTTAGAATTCACAGAACACTCAATTGAAAATTAAAAAATCTGTATCTTCATTACTTTCAATTACTTGCAGAGAGCAATATTTAGTGAGGACCAAGGTGGGGGGCCAGGCAAGGCTGTAATAGATGTGAGTTCTTGTTAAATGCCAAAACACTGCACTGCATTCTACCTACTTTGTTTTGCCAGTGAATTACTAACTCTTTGCTTACCTTTTCTCCTCTCTAAAATTAGTATGATTATAATCTGTCTTATCTTCCTCAAAAAGTTGAAGGGAAAACAAAATCAAAGAAGTCAATTGGATTAGGGTAAACCATATCGGGATACCAGGACCCAATCTTTCTCCCTCTTTTTCTCTCTCTGTCCCTCCTCATCTCTGCTTTATTTTCTGTTCTGTTGGCTTCACTTTTACCAGTTTCTCTCCATGGATGGCTCCAGTGCATATTTTAAGCCCTAGAGTTCTAACATCACCAGGAAAAGAAAGAAAATTTTAATTTCAACACATGTACAGAAGTCCCAGAATTGAAGTACTGGCCTGTCTTGGGCACACGTATGCTGCTGAACCAGTTGCTATAGTGGAGATCTGAATTCTCAGATCAGCCAGGCCCATTCACTAGCCCAAGCTGGAGTGTGACTGTAGTCAGCCACCCTTAAACCAGTGGGACTGAGGGTAGAGGAGCAGTTTCAGAGGAAAATAAGATTTCTAATACCAGCAGATAGGAGTAGATGCTGGGCAGGTAACAAAGAGAATCCCTCACACATGATGATTAGCATGAACATGTTATTGGTATGCCTCTTACATTCTGTGTTAGAATTTTTTGTCCTTATTTCTCCTCAGGCCAGAAGTCATTTGTGGATACCGTCTTTCCAGACTTCAGTGGCTGGAAAGCCACCTTTCAATCAACACGTATGTTTTTTTGATGAATTAATTTCTTGTTGTAGAGATATGCTCATGACGAATAATTCTGTGAGGGTTTAAAATCAAAATGCAACAAATTAATTGTAGATGAGAAGTTCATAAATGAATGTTACATGATCAGATAGATGTGATACTGTTTCTTTTTTTGCCAAGATTATTTTACATATCTGCTGATAATCATAGCTGAATCTTATATAGTGCTTCTTAGGTGCCAGAATTTTCCATCTGTTCATTTAACCTTTATGAGAATCTGATGAAGTAGATGCCTTGACAGTCCCATGTAACAGTAATGGGGAGAGCTGGGCACATGAATGCGGGCAGCCTGGCTGGAGTTCACAGTCCTTACCATTATGCTTTACTGTTAGGCATTGAGCTAAACCTGGGATATAAGCAGGATGAAGACTTCTATTTTAAAGACTGTAAGCAGGAGGCAGAAATCATGTGTATACATGTGTAAAGTTCTCAGCACAGCCCTAAGGGGGAGCCATGTGTTGGTTCATATCACTAATAGAAATTGTGTGAGGGAATGCTTACTTACTAAGGCTGGAGTGGGGGCAAACTGGTGTACTTAGAACCCACCAATATCCTATCATGTGGCAAATGCTTTACTATATTCATACCAAGTTTGGACTAATGTTGAAATAAGACTAACTGATCTTATGCTTAGATTATATTTCAGAAATGGGTTCAAAACTAAGCTAGCACCTCACTTGTCTAAGGATGGCCTATGGACCAGCAGCTTCCACATCACCTCAGAACTTTCTAGAAATGTAGAATTTCAGCCCCACCCTGGAGCTACTGAATCAAAATGTACATTTTAAGAGATTCCTAGGAGATGCCTGAACACAGTAAAATTGGAGCTAACATAAAAATACAAAGTTAGCAGTTGGATCTGTCATTATCATCTGATGAATCCTGATTGTCATTAGTGGCTGAAGCAGTTTACCTTTATTTGGCAGCCTGGACATTCAGATGTTCAAAGTCAGATCTTGGCACATGATTAGAAAAGATAGCCTGACCACCAAAGAGGGACAGAGATTCATTCCTTGGAACACAGGCCCATGCTTTCTGGAGCTCCTGGCTATCCTGTTGCCTCCAGTGTTGAGAGGAGGAAAAAGAGAAAGCCTACCAGGCACCACTTGGGGCCAGGCAGTTAAGTAAAAAGTGAGCTCTCCGGGAGCTTGGTGAGCAAGCTACTCCAGGACTAATTGCGCCCTCTGCTGACAGGGCTTGACATTCCGGCTGCTATCAAAGGAAAACTAAAAGGTCCAGATCCATTGTCACAAAACCGGCAATAAAGGGTGAATTTGGAACCAATTGGCAATACCTTAATAACTGGTACACTAGGATGCACTTAACCAGTATACACACATACATATCAAAACTGGTTAAATGCATATAAAATACAATTTTGGTATTTCCCATTTTTCCAATTCTCAACCATGTTGCTATGAGTGACCCTAGGTATACAGATTCTTACACTTGAATGATTATTACATGAGAATTTGAAATTGAAGAGAGGGACATGAGAAGATTTGCATCCCATTCTAGTATTAAATCAAGGTAAGTCCTGGGCTGAAGTTTGCTGGGGAAAACATAGAAATCAGCAGGTGCCTGGATTACTTAGGGATGGCCGAGGGCCTTGTCTGGAGTTGGGCATAGTTGCTTTTTTAAGCTTTACTGCAATTTCCAGGAAAAAATATCTATTTAATAACTCTTCATCTAACATTTCTGAATTGTCATTAAAGCCCAAGCTCATAGCCATCCAGGTCTCTCTCAGGATAACATACCCCCAACTCACCTGCAGGACCATCATAGCTTTTATTTGGCACCTGAGGAGCCTATTTTTCCCCCTTGGGAATATTTATATATTTGTTTTGTGCTATTAGAAACATGTATAGGTGTTTGTAAACAGAAGGTGAAGGGCTTGAAGGCCTTGTTTTCTGCATGGAAGGCTTATTCTACTTTCTTTGCTCCCTTTGCCCTCATCACGTACCCACCCAGAAATCCCTTCAATTCAGTCTATGGGTGGTCATTTCTTGAAGACATACTTTAATCCATTCATCTGCTAAGTATCAACATTATGCCAGGCAATCCTTACAAGGATCCTGAAGGACAGATGCTGTTGTCACCATTTTGTACACATGGAAACTATGAGTAAAACCCTGAACAATGTCCAAGGTCACAGAGCTTTTAAGTAGTAAAGCTCGTCTGTGACACAAGATTCCCCAATGGAAGCCCAAAGCATTGCCATATTTTAGAAAATATTGTAATTAGTTAAAGGAGGAAAGGCCCAGTAGGCTTCTATCCTGGCTCAAAAGGCCTCGCCGTGTCCTGTGGTCTCTGATTTGATGGGAGCTTCCTCCAGTGACCCTTCTCATGGTCACCTGACATCTCTTCACACATACAGAGGGTCTTTCATAAGTCTTTGTTCATCAAAGATACTGTTGTCTTTGGAGTTCTTGATCCAGCCAGGTATTACTAGTCAAGGGGCAGTGGTTCCTTCCGAGAATGGCCCAAGGGACAGGCCCTTCCCGCATAGAACATCTCTTAGAGATGTTACCTGGCAGAGAGTACAACAAGCAGGGAAGGTTTCACCAACCTCCCCTGAGCATTAGGCAGTAGTACAGGATGGGGACCACCCACCTATGTCTTTGATTATTGCTTCCCAGAGAAGCTGCCCATTGTTTACTTTTGTTATTTATTTATTTGGGGCAATTTCAAATTTACACAGAACACATACAAAAACACATGCACAAAGACCCTGAAACATCATTAAAATATGTAACCAAGGCAATCCTCAAAATATGCCCTTCTCCCCACAATTATTATTAAAGATTTGGCATGTGGTTTGTATTGTATTTCTAAAAATTTTAATGGACTATTTCCTAGAGCAATGTCAGGTACTCAGCAAAATTGAGCAGAAAGTATAGGGAGTTCCAACTGGGACTTGCCTTCACTCACTCACAGCCACCCCACCACCAACATTCCCCCATGGGAATGGTTCATCTGGAATAATTAAGGAACATACACTGTTATGTTGTTATTATCTAAAGTCATAGTTTACGTTAAGGCAACAACTTGATGTTGTACATTCTGTGAGTTTGGACAAATGTATAATGTCATGCATCCACCATTATAGTATCATACAGAGTAGTTTCACTGTCCTAAATATCCTTTCTGCTCTGCCTATTCTTCCCAACCTTCCCCACGACCCCTGGCAACTACTACTAATCTTTTCAATGACTCTAGTTTTACTTTTTCCGGAATATCATATAGTTCAGCTAGTATGGCATTCAGCATTTTCAGAGTGGCTTGTTTGTATTTTTAAAATGTTTTGTTCCTAAGCATACATGCATTTTTTTTATTATTTATTAACTAGGGATAGCATCAAACATAGTGTTTAGCAACTTTCTTCAGGTAAAACTAAGCCTGGTCATATTTTCTCAACAGTATGACCAAAGATTAGGATATCTACCACAATAATCACTAACCAGCTTGAACATTTACTGTGCCATGTACTGTTCTACTGTAACTATTTTCCACGTGTAATATGGGATGAATGTGTCCCCCTAAAGTGCATATGTTGTGCTAACCTCTAGTATGTCTGACTGTGACTATACATAGAGATAGGACCGTTAAGGAGGTAATGAAGTTAAAATGAGGTTATTAGGTTGAACTCTAATCCAACATGACTGTTGTCCTTATACACAGTGGAGATTAGGACATGAACACACAGACACACACAAAGGAATGACTATGTGAAGAGGGAAAACCAAGACAACCAAGTACAAGGCAGGGAGAGGGCCTCAGAAGAAGCCAGCCCTACTATCATAATCTTGAACTTCCAGCCTCCAGAAATCTGGGAAAATAATTGTTTAAGCCAGCCACTAGGTCTGTAGTACTTTGTCATGACTTCTCTAGCAAACTACTACAATATGTAACCTTTATTCTTGCCATAGCCTCAAAAAAGGAGCCTCTTGTCTCCTTTTTATAAGAAGAAACCTGAAGCAGAGGGAAGCTAAATGATTTGCCCAAGATCAACCACAGTGTAATAATCTGGGTATGAAGATATGCTGTGGTTCCATAAAGATTCCCCCAAATCTCACCAGGTTAACACAACAAAGGGTTATCACTCATTGATGTGGGCAGTGTATCAAGTGTTGGAGTAGGGCATTTTTTCCTAGTTTCTCAGGGACTCAGGCTCATGGGTCATTCATCCCAACATGTTTCCATGGACCCTGAGGTCAGGGAAAGGGAACGTAGTGAATCCCACATTGATTCTGTAGCTTCTTCCTTCTCATCATTTCCTCTTACACTTCCTCTACTAAAGCAAGTAATCAGGCCACAGCTGTCTTCAAAGGGCTTAAGACAGGAAGCACAAATCCACCATGTGCCCAGGAGAGGAAACCAGGATATTTATAGATAGTGTCATGGCAACTACACAGGGCAAGCAAGCTCATGGTGAACATGTCTTCCCCACCATAGGCAGGGCAGTGTGGGGCAAGGAATTCTCTTCACCTGAAGAGATGTTTGGTCTCTGGCTTCAGCTACTGGGAGGGAATCTCAGGGTCCCTGGAGTGTCCTGCCTCATCAGAGCATCATTATCTGCCTGGGGGCTTTAGCCATCAGACAGTCTAAGAAGGTGATATATGTTGGGGGCTTTGGGACATGCCCTATGACTTCTGACCTCCAGAGGGGCTGAAGGCTAATGGTCAGCCACACAAACACTATATGATCAAGTTCATAAAAAAGCCTGAACACCCGAGGCTGGGCTGAGCTTCCTGGGTTGGCAGGACTCTGTGTGTACTGCCTCACCTTGTTGATATTAGGAGGGGAACGTGTTCTGAGGACATGGGACTTCACATCTGGACTTGCTCCAGATTCTATTCTAAGTGTGTCTTCTGTGGTTCTAATGTGTATCCTTTCACTCTAAGAAACTATGCTCACAAATATAACACTTTCCAGGGTTCTGTGAGTCATTCTAGTGAATTATCAACCAAAAAGGTGATTATGGGAACTCCCAAATCTGTAGCCAGCTGGTCTGAAGAGAGGGTGGCCCAACTTCTTGTGGGTAATTGTTTCTCTTTTTTCTTTTTTGTTATACTTGACATAACACCTTATTATGTTGCTTTGCTGAGATTTTTCCATTTAGAAAAGAGAACCCATCTTTTAGTTGTTGCTCCCTTCCCTCATCCCAAATTAGGGATTATTTGACAAAGTAGAATTTATTATTAAATTAGCTTTTCAATAATACATTCCAATTTAATTTTTTATACAGCTTGAAACTGAGGGTTGCAATGCATACAACATTTGAAAATGAAATGACATCTTTTTATGTAACTTATTTTGAACAGTAAAAAAATAACCTTATCTATCTGACCATCAACTTCTGTGCAAATGAAGAAGCAAAATTGTCAACTAATATATCAATATTCCCAATGTCAGTTATTACCAAAGGTTCAATTTCTGACTATCTTACAAATTTAAAGCTTGTTCTCAAAATTATGTTTTTTAAAAACTGCCTTTTGGAAGTGCTTTTATTTCTTTAGGGTGATGACAACATAAATGTTGAAAAAAATGTGTAAGGTATCAAAGATAGTATGAAAATATATACAGCTACATAAATATGAAAAATCCCTGTTTTTCCTGATTCCAAATGCAGATATCTAGCCATCTTCCTTAAATTCTATCAAAAAATTTCCAAAAAACATCTAGGTAATTAGAATATACAGAACATTTTAGCATGTTCTGGAAGCTTGCCATATATAAACTCTATAATAAACGGATAAATTGGAAGTAGGGCTTCTGTCACAATCCATGATGACTGTAAAGCAAACATTCTATGGAAACATACATATTTTGTCAGTGGTCACAGAAATAGAGGTATTTTTTGTTGTTGTTTGAGCAACAGCTATTATAATTTTTTAACCCTAAATTCTAGTACATCAAAACAAAAGGTATTAACATTTCACTTAAGATAATTCAGCATCCTCAGCTTTTAAGGAAATATAGTAAATATCTTAAAACAAAAATAGTTTTAACAAACTATACTCTAAATTAGTATGTGCCCCCAAATTTTAGTCTTCTTAACAGGTGATGGACAAAATCACAACTGTAGAATAATTCTCAGAAAAGTTGAAATGGAAAACACTGAGTTCACTTTAAATATCATCAGTGTGTTCATCATCGTCTCCAATATCATCACATTGGATTTCATCATCATCTCCAGAACCAAATGTATCTGTTTCATTAATTTTAGCACGTTCTGAAAGCTCACCATAGGCCTCCAGACTTCTAGCTTCATCTGCATTTTACACTAAGATGACATCAGCTGTGTTATCCTGATAGTCTCGGTGACCAACCAATATGATGTCTGAGCAATTTATCCAACCTTCTTTCTCAGTTTTCCTCTGATGTGGCCTAACCTCTTTACACCATCAAAACATATTGCTTTGAATCGTCCATTTCCCAACATTTTTATTACCTGAGCATATTCTTCCCAATCTTCTTTAAATACCAATTCTCCTTTTTCAGACTCATTCTCATTCTTACCCCTGCATCTGTTTTTAACTCCTTCACCTTTATTCTTGGGCATGGCAGTGACAGAGGCCTTGTAGGACCTGTGTTTCCTTTTGGTTGTTATCACTCAGCAGGGAGTGGTTATCTAAGCCTTTTTTCTTTTATTAGATTATAGGCTTTTCTTATTTTGAATGACATAAGCAGGAAAAAAGTCTTACATTCATTAATGTTCCAAGGAGATTGAACAAGAATTTAGTGTTTACTTGTAATTGAAAGTCTGAGCCTCCATTCCTGTCCAGGGTGCGTTCAGGTTCACACTCACATTCACACCCTTCCAGGACGACTCCTTTTGGGGCATTCCTGGGCCACTGTTCTGCCTGCAGACTGAGGTAAATTCACTCAGAGTACTTAAACTAAGAGGGAATCTGTCACCTGAGGTTCAGGGAGATGCTGACGTCCACACTCAGCCCATCTCCACCCCTCCAACCCTGACAGCATTTGTGACTTGAGGTTCAGGCTGCTTCCTTAGCTCCACCTCCAATTTCAGAACTCTTCTGGGGGTGCAGAGAAGCAGTCCCAGGCACAAAACATTCAACCTCAGTCACTAAGTGGGTGGGAACCAGTTACATGTACATACATTATTCATAAAATAAAAATTACATTGTATAGAACACGTCCAGAAGGCACAACTTAAAATGCAGCTACTTTCTAGTCAAAAGAATTTTTACTTAATGATAAGGCTGGAGGAAAATGGCAAAGGCAGCACACACTGTGATTAAATCCTACAAGGGACAAAGCAGCAAGAAATGGAGAAAGAGTCCCCTAAGGGAACTCGAGGAAGAGAGCCGCTCGTGATAGCTAAGCTAAGTAAGGAAATGTTTCAGGGATAATAAGTTTTCCCCAATCCTATTGAATGCACAGACATCCAAGTGGGCTGCACCTTATAGCCACCAACAAAGATGGCTGTCAGGGCAAAGGTGGGCAGGGAGGCCACCAGAGTAAGGTTACACACTAAGCAAGAGTCAGGGAAGTGAGTGAACAGAATGTTGAGAATGTTGTGTGGCCTCACTGGTGGGATTGCGCAAGGTCCCTGGCTCTGCCTTGCTGTAACCAGCCTTCCCTTCCTCCAAGGCAGGTGCGTCCACCAGGAGATGGCAAAGGGCACCATGGATGTCACTACTCTGCTGTGGCTGAATGCAAAGATCTGGAGTGGATTTTCTTCATGTAACTTGAAGGGTAAAAGGCTCTTCCCAGCAGGTGCCATGATCCAGATTTAGAAAAGGTGCTGGGGTACCAGGGTCAAGGGATCAAGGCAATTTTTCAGAGGTTCGCCTCCTTCTGGCTTGCAGTCATGGCTGAGCCCCTGGGTTCTTGGATTCTTCACCAATGGGAAGTGAAGGAATTGGAGATACGACAAGCCCACCTTCAACAAAGCCTTGGGTGGGTACTGAGGACATTCCAAAGGACAGGCTGTTGCCTGATATGCCCACTGCAGTAGTGGTGGTATTCTGACAGAAAGTTTCACTGGAGGTGGCTCCAAACCCAGGTTTGTTGTCAGGCGTGCTGGCCACACTGAAGACCTGGTTTGTCTGGTTGGGTGTGCCCGGGATGCTCTGACGTAAGCTCCCCCCATAATGGGTGGTAGTGCTCGTGGTCCCATTCTGTCCTGCTCTGATGGAAAACTCTCCTGATGTGGATCTAGAGCCTGGAGTAGACACACTGATTCCAAAGCCTCCACTGCCAGCTGGAACTGCTGATGCCGCCAATGTGTAGCGGCCAAACACTGAGCCACTGGTCCCACTGCTGTTTGGGTTGTAGCTCTAAAGCCAGACGTGGTGGCTGTGTGGCCTGGGGTATCCTCACTCATCTCAACTTCTTCACTGGCAGGTACGACTGCCAATGTCCCCAACAAGAAGGGACCAAACACTGATCTATGGGGCCCATCTCTGGTGTTTTCAGTTATAGCTGCAAAGGCAAGGTATTGTGGGTGCAGCAAAACTATCACCTGAGGTATCCTCACTCATCTCAACGTCTTAACGGCAGGTGGAGCTACTGATGTCCCCAATGGTAAGGGGCCAGATATTGAACTAATGGAGTCTCTGCTTCTGGTTTGGGTTGTGACTCTAAAACTGGGGGTGGAGGGTCTAGTGAGGGAGAAAACAGCCATGGTGGTAGCAAAGGCTGGCTGAGTGCTGGCAGGTGTGCCAAAGGCAGAGGCTATGGTTACCAAACCTCCAAAAACTGAATGTGCGGCACTGTCAAAGCCTGACTGGTGTAGGGTTGGTGTTGGCTTCGTAGCTGGGGCCAGGGCTGCAGAGTTTCCATATGCAAGAGTGCTTCCACAGTCTGGGGCAAGGCCTGGCTTGGTAGCCCAGTGTCGTTGCCCATCAGTGGCCTTACATAAAGGATGGCAACTGGCTCCTGGATATGATGGGAGAGGAGGTTTGTTGCTTGAGCCAAAGGGAATGTTGAATGCTGGGGTCATTATATTACTGAATGTCAGTGCTGACTGGCTGGTGGGGTCTGGGGCTGAGGTGGTCACAGTGCCACCAAAGCCATGGAAGCCAGTGGAGCTGTTGGTGCTGGCTGTTGGTGCTGGCTGTCTGAACAGCACTGGGAGGGGACTGGCTGAATCCAGAAGTGGTTACTGTGGTTGATACATGCTTGGAAGTACATTTGCCGACCTGAAAGGTGGAGCCCTTGACTGGGATAAAGCTGGTACTGGAGGCAGGGGGTACCCCAAAGAGAAAGGGCTGTGCAGTGAAATGAGTGACATTCCTCACAGTGCTTCTGGTACTGCTCACACTGCTGAGGCCATGGCCAAAAGCAGGCTTCAAAGCAGGGTCTGCAGAAGTACCAGCTGTGCTATTAGATGCCACTGCAGAGGTGGCAGTGGCCAAGCTAGTGAGTCGAGGGGTAGTTGTGACTGGAGTACTGTCCCGAATAGTTGTGTGCTTGAAGAAGGGAGCTGACAAGGGCACAGATGTAGGCAGCCCTCTGTTGCTAAAGACAGGCTGAAAGGTCAGGACTGAGGTGGTGGTGGTCATGGGGAAGGTGGAGCTACAGTGTGCTGTGCTCAAGAATGAATATCATACAATGAATAAAAAAGAGAAGGTAAAGTTCAATATGACATAGAAAGATCCCAGGGACATTTTTCTAGTGAAAAATCAAGTTACAGAGCAATAGGAACAGTGTAATCTCTCTTATGTTTTGAAGAAAACCACAAAATGAAAATTAGAAAAGATAAAACATTTTTATGAGTCAGGCATGGTAGTGGCCACCTATTGTCCCAGGAGGCAGAGGTGGGAGGCCAGTCTGGGCAATGAGTCAGGCATGGTAGTGGCCACCTATTGTCCTTGGGAGGCAGAGGTGGGAGGCCAGTCTGGGCAATGTAACCTATGGAGATCTCAGTCTTGAAAAGTAAAAAAGAAAAAGAACCATACTGTGAACACAGATCACAGAAAAAGAGGGCTTGATGGTATAGACTAGTTCAGTAGACCAGCCAGTGACACCTGAAAATAAAAGGAAACTTGATTTAGATGAAAGTCAGAATTCAGAATGAGTTTGGGGCTCAGAAGTTTGCTCTGTGTTGGGATGTCACTAGTAGGGGTGAGGAGGAGGAAAGGTCTGGGTTGAGTTCATCTTGTTGTTAACAAAAATTAGTGGGCAACAGAAAGGAAGAATTTACGTAGAAACATATTAATCTTGAATCTATTAAATTGGAAGTTATAAAATTGTTACAAATCCCTGTTGATGAGAGTTTATTTTTTAAGTTTAACTCCTTATCTATTTCTCTGATTTTTTCCCTCAACTCCTTATCTATTAAATTTCAGTAGTCCAGCTAAGATAACTCTTTTTGGTGAGGTGTGAACAAATGAATGAATGAATGAATGAATGAATAAAACATGCACATACATGCTGGTTTTATAACGAGGTTCTCTTTCAAGGGTGATTGATTTAATACACCCAAATTCATGTTTTCACTCTTCACATTGAGCTCTCCATAGTCCAGCTGATGCTGTACGGCTAACCAGCAATTCCACCTGGGATATTCCCAGGCTGATGCCAGCTCTATGAACCTGACCCATCTGCATTCTAACCCACTTTTGGTTCTTGCTGAACTGATACAGGATGTATTTGCAAGGAGCTTCAGATTGTAATATATTACTTATTCACTTTATAAGAGGGCCTTGTTTTTATATGCCAGTTAAGATGTTCACCATAGAGGGAGGAGCCATGATAGCTGACTAGAAGCAGCTTTCTCTAGAGGCTTCTGTGCAGAGGGAGAAATATTAGACATATGTGGATTCAGTGAAGCCAAAGGTGGGGCTTTGACCTGGAAAAGAAGATAGAGTTGAACATCATCTGTGCTGAGACAAGCTGCAAGTCCAAGAAAGAGGAAGAAAGATAATAAAGACCAGGTACTAAGCCCATTGCCAAGAGGATGGGAGACCCCTCCCCCATGCGGAGACTCAAGGAGGGCTCTCTAAAGGTGAGCAGGGAATGAAGGACCTCTCACATTACCCCATGGTGAAGATCTGCTAAATCCTGCTTGTTGTTCTCCCTGGAGGTCCCACCTCTGAGCCTAGGCATCATCCTTTTCTCCTAACCTGGCTACCTGAAAGTCTGAGCCCTGCAGAGCCAAGTGTTTGGCAAATTTGCTGGGCAGACAGGCATTGTGTGGGCTGTCAAACAGTAGCAACAGTGTGGAAGCAGGGAATGTGGGAGAGAGGGACAAGTGCAGAGATGGTGGTGTGGGCTGAATTAGCAGGTGCAAAGACAGTGATGCCCTAGTTCTAACTCTGGTGGGCAATCTTTCCTGACTCCCATTCCCACTGGAGGGGACCCTGTTCCAGCCCCTTGGGATTGGGCAGATGGATCCTCATACAGATTTCAGCTTTCTGGCCGCTTGAGCCCTTTGAACTTTTTCAGGCAAGCAGTGTTTGTACTGCATGGGACAATCTGATTGGATTTTTTGACCTGGGCTGTCTACCTAGGGACCTTGTGATGTTGAGTGGTGGTGCAATAGAGAGGAGAAAGACAGATTCTCCTATATCTGTCACCTGCTGAGGGCGGGGCCACCGAAGGTGTTTGTAACTTCCCCTAGCTGAGAGACAAGCCTAATACAGTGACTCATTAGGATTGAGGAAAGACAGGCTGACATCAAGACAGAGCCGAATTGTATTATCTTACCAAACTGGCCCTCAGAGTCTCTGGCTATATCTCTGAAAGAGACCTCTGCAAGGCTATAAGTAAAAAGCCCACAATCATAAGCCCCAATTCCTTGGTGAAGGAGTGGTTAGCTCCAGATCCTGAGGCCCCCAATCAAGTCTCACCCTGCCAGTTTTAATTGCCAAATAGCAGAAAATATGCATGGAGAGGAAATAACAGAAGAACTCTGGCAACATGTAAAATCAGAGGAGATCAACGTCCCCAATGGATGACAAAGAAGATACAACAGAAAATACCGTCTATAGAGAAATTGCTACAATGCCAGAAATGGAAGTGAGGATATGAATGGCAAATAAGATGAACAGAATGGAGGAAAAGATGGAAATAGAAATCTAGAAAGTAGTTCCAAAGTTGTCTCAAGAAATTCATGAATTCAAAGTAAATGTCACTGGGGATATGGACCTAATGAAAAGATGTAGCAGAGCTGTAGGAATTGAAAAAGGCCTTTGAGGAGCTTCAAAATACAGTCAAGACACTCACTAAAAGAGTTGATCAGGCAGAAGAAAGGATATCAGAAAGTCTTTTTAACTATCCCAACCATTCAAAGAGGCAGAAAAAAGAAGAACAAGAACAGAATATTCTCTGAGAGTTATGGGATCATTCTAAAAGATCAAACATGTGAATTATATGGGTTTCTGAAGACGAGGATGGTCCAAAAGGCATGAAAGCTCTACTCCAAGACATTATGGTGGAGAATTTCCCAGGCATTGGAAGAGATATGGAAATTCAGATAATAGATAGTTTCAGAACATCAGCATGACTCAATCTAAATAAAGCATCTCCTAGAAACATTGTAATTAAATTGGCAAAAGTTAATATGAAGGAAAAAAACCGTGCAAGCATCTACGCAAAAGAAAAGTATTATGTATAAAAGGAAAAGTATCAGGATGACTTTAGACCTTTCAGCCAAAACTTTTCAAGCCAGAAGAGAGTGGTCCTTTATCTTCAACCTTCTAAAACAAAACAACTTTCAGCCCAGGATTCTGTATTCAGCTAAACTGAGTTTCATTTGTGATGGAGAAATCTAATACTTTACTGACATCCATACATTAAGGAAATTTGCTACAACTACACTAGCTTCACAGGAAATCCTCAGACATATTTTTTATAATGATGGTCTACCACTAAAGTAAACTGACCCAGAATTTAAAGAAAATACCTAAATTCGACAATGTTATAAAGGCTAAAAATATGCATTGAACCTTTGAAAAACAAGATGGCCAAACCACTACCTTACCTATCAATTCTTCTAATTAAAGTGAATGGCTTAAATTCTCCTCTAAAGAGGCAAAGGTTGGCTGACTGGATTGAAAAACTCAGGCCAAGTATCTGTTGCCTCCAAGAGGCACACCATATCTGAAAAGATAAAACAAGACTCAGGGTGAAGGGATGGGCAACAGTAATCCAGGAAAATGGAAATCAGGAGAAAGCAGGGGTTGCAATCTTATTTTCAGATACAATTGGATTTAAACTAACAAAAATAAGGAAATACAAGGATGGACACTACATATTTGTCAAGAGAAACACTCAACATGAAGAGATTTAAATAAGTAACATTTACCCTCCATACCTGACTGTTTCTTGATTTATAAAATAAACCCTAATGGCTCTGAACAATATTATATTTTCCTGTACTATGACTGGAGATCTTAACACCCCTCTGGCAGTTTTGGATAGATCATCCAAGAAGAAACTAAACAAAGAAATCATGGACTTAAACTTGACCCTAGAACAAATGGACAAATGATTTATAAAATAAACTCTTAATGGCTCTAAACAATATTATATTTTCCTGTACTATGACTGCAGATCTTAACACCCCTTTGGCAGTTTTGGATAGATCATCCAAGAAGAAATTAAACAAAGAAATTATGGGCTTAAACTTGACCCTAGAACAAATGGACTTAACAGACATGTACAGAACATTTCATCCTAATAAAACTAAATATACATTCTTCTCATCAGCCCACAGGTTCATCCTCCAAAATTGATCATATCTTAGGACACAAGTCTTACCTCCACAAATTTAAAAGAATAAAAGTTATTCTGGGTATCTTCTCGGACCATCACAGGATAAAAGATGAACTCAATAGCAACAGAAATCCTCATACTCAAAGTCACAGAAAGTAAATAACCCTAGCCTGAATGGTATCGGGGTCAAGGATGAGGTTGAGAAGCAAATCATCAGAGTTTTGGAACAAAATGATAATGAAGACACAAACAATCAAAACCTGTGGACTGCTGTAAGGGCAGTCCTAAGAGGGAAATATACAGCATTAGAAGCCTTCATCAAGCCAATACCAAGACAGCAAGTCAGCAACGTAATGGGCCATCTTAAGCAACCAGAAAAGGAAGCTCATTCTAACCCAAACCTAGAAGAAAGAAAGCACAAAAATTAGAGCAGAATTAAATGAAATTGAAACAAATCTTTAAGACACAGAAATACAAAAGCTCCTCAATGATTACTGCCAAAAATTCTTTTCTCAGAAATATGAAAATACGGAGGAAATAGACCAATTTCTAAAAGCATACCACCTTCCTAAACTCAAGCAGAAAGAGTTAGAAATGTTGACTAGACCTCTATTAAGCACTGAAATAGCACCAAGTATACAAAATCCGCCAAAAAGGGAAAGGAACTAGATGATTTTACATGAGAAGGTTTTACCAAACCTTCAAAGAGGAACTAAAACCTATATTACATAATCTATACTAAACATAGAGATGAAAAGAATTATCCCCAACTCATTCAATGAAGCAAATATCACCCTAATCCCCAAACCAGGAAAGGACCTATCAAAGAATGAAAATTATACACCAATATCATTAATGAATATAGGCGCAAAAATCCAATAAGATCCTAGCAAACAATTCAATGACACATTAAAAAACTTATATACCATGATCAATTTGGTTTTATCACAGGGTTTCAAGGTTGGTTCACCATACGTAAATTCATAAATATAATACACCACGTAAAATAAAATAAAAAACAAAGACCATGTTATTCTTTCAATGATGGAGAAAAGGCTTTTAATAATATGCAGCATCCTTTCATGATTGAAACACTTAAGAAAATAGGCTTAGATGGGACATTTCTTAAACTGATAGAGACAGTTTATAGCAAACCCATAGCCAATATCATATTGAACGCAGTAAAATTTTGACAAGGATGCTCGTTGTCACTGCTGCTATTCAACATAGTACTGAGAGTCCTAGCCATCGCAATCAGGCAAGACAAGGAGATCAAGGGTAATCAAAAGGGGACAGAGGAGGTCAAATTATTGCTCTTTGCACATGACTTGATCTTATACCAAACCCCAGGGACTCAACTACAAAGCTCTTAGAAGTGGTCAAGGAATAGAGCAGTGTCTCCAAGTACAAAATTAATATCTACAAATCACTAGGCTTTATACATACTAACAATAGTCAAGCGGAGAATACAATCAAAGACTATTCCTTTTATAGTAGTGCCAAAGAAAATGAAATACCTGGGATTTTATCTAACAAAGGACTTGACAGACTTATAACAAGAACTATGAAACCCTGAGAAAAGAAATAGCCGAAGATGTTTTCAAACAAAAGAACATACCAGAACATTCTTCGTGTTTGGGAAGAATCAACATTGTTAAAATGTTTATACTTCCCAAAGATATCTACAGATTTAATGCAATCCCCATCAAAGCACAATGTCATACTTTAAAGAACTGGACAAAAGAGTACTTTGTTTTATATGGAATCAAAAAAACCTGAATAGCCAATACAATTCTTAGAAATAAAAACAAATCTGGAGGCATCACATTACCAGACTTCAGGTTATACAACAAATCTATAGCAATCAAAATAGCATGGTGATGTCACAAAAATAGAGACATAGATCTATGGCATAGAATAGAGAGAGACTCTAGGGATAAACCCAGCCATGTATGGTCATTTGATCTTTGATAAGCCACACAAAAACATGCATTGTGGAAAAGAATCCCTAATTAACAAATGGTGCTTAGGGAACTGGTTAGCCACTTGTACAAGACTGAAACAGAACTCACACCTCTCACCACTAACA